CAAAATAAGAGTCTGCAGAGTCAAACGAGAGCTGTGAAATTAGCAGAGCTGTGTAGCAAATGAGTTGCTGGGGAAACGGTCAATTAGGCCTCTACAGGTAAGTGATAATTATATCAAACTATATGACCCCAGAATGCCACAACTGACCAATCAGAATTAAGTATTCCAGAGAGCAGAGTAATTAGCATAACTATAACAAAAAATATAACAAAAGCTAAGTTTCTCAACTTCTATTACTAACACTCAAGGGGTACCCAGACTTTAGGGATTCAAGGATGATATGAAATCTGAATCACCATCCTCAAACAAAATTGAGCGTTTCACTGCTGTATGGTATGGTATTTTATACCATACCACATCAGGCCTTTTACTTTTTAATATATCTGCGTGTCTTTTGTTTGAATGATCAAATTCTGAGGTTCCTTTAGTGGTTTTCCAACTCGAGAGTCACAATAACTGTATTAAAGGGACATGGAAAAATGGCTACCATCAAAATATTAGATTTTTGTGTTTTTCTGAAAAATGATATTTATGCATTTCACACAACCTAATCACTGCTTTATTTCAGCTGCATCTCTCACTTGTATATAAAACATCTCTATGCTTGATTCTATTTACAGGTATATTCAATACTGCTCATAATATGCTACTCACTGGCACACACCAATTTGAAAGTAATATTTTATAGCTTTTACAGAATAATATTTTTATTAAGGTACGGTTTTGTTTACTACCTTACTACCTACTCGTTATGTAATTGATTTAAAAAAAAGTTTACTTTGCTCTAAAAAGCCATAAAAATACAACAAAAATACTCATGAATATTAAAAGTTGATCAAAAAAGATAACCATCCATTGTGTATGATAGGGCAGAATCAGTGAAGCCTATTATGATTATGAGTTCAGATTACATCCAATTTCAGGGTCATGTGTCCTATTAACTAATGTGGCCAAATGTCAATATTTATAAGTCAACCATAATGTATGAGCAAACGCTGTATGGGTATTTCCTGTACAGTCTCAGTAGCTTTATTAGACGGGGATGTACAGCAAATTATAACTGACAGCAGCAGAGAAGCACAGGAAAATGATCAGTTTAGGAAAACCAGTCTGTGAACACACACACACAACATTTCAGAGAAACAAACAAACAAATGTAAAACATGCCATATCTGTTAGAGAAACATGTGATAGCTATGTAATTACATACATAATGGCTACACGCTGTGCCGATGGGTTTTTAGCAATAGTAAATGGGCCGGATCATTAGCAGCATGTTTTGCTGTAGTCATCCCCATTAACCTCAGCCCACTCTGTTTATCTGCCACATTATACAATTAAGGGGGGCTTTGCATAACAGCCTTTCTCTCTCAGAAAACACCCATCATTAAATCTACTCTCTCACAAAGCCTAGCTATGCATGTGTGCACTTGAGCGCTCAGAAAAATGCCACCACACACACATGCAGTGCCCACTTACACTGCGATGCAGCTCTCTCAGAGCCTCTGTGCGGAGCACTTTATGCAACAGCAGTTCTGGAGAGCGAGAGCAGAGTTAGCGTAGGTGATGATAATGCTCAGCAGGGCCTGTAATCATGTCAGTATCAGTGCTTTGTTTCTACACAAAATGACTGAGATCAGCTTTATAGGGAGGACTCTGATCACTCATGGTCTGTGCCTGCTGCTGTCAACCTCACAGGTTAACATGCAGTGATTTATGATTTCCTCGCTGCAATCCCAGCCCTCTTTACTCATTCACAGCATCGATACTGATATTTGAGACTAGAGACTCGCAAGAAAAACAGAGTCAGCAAAGTTGAAAATAAGACACACTAGGCCAATGGCGAACAAATTTCCTGCTAGACAGGTGGAATTTCTCAGAGCCTTTAGGAAAAAGTGTATAATCGCTTTCTCTGTGCTGCATTAAAACTCTCCATATCTGTCAGGATGACACTGATTAGCCAGCCAAAGTCTTTATATCAAGGAGGTCTATAATACCTGAAGAAAGCTATTTCAATAGCAATTGCTCAATGGAACTTGCTTGGCTATAAGTAACAAAAAAAAGCTGTTAGGGTGGCTTTTACTTAAGATTTTTTGATGAAAAAAGTATCGTATTCTCACCAAGCATTTATTTGATCAAGTAATAATGTAAAATGTATTACCACTTAAAATAAGTTTTCTATTTTAAAATGTAATTTGATCCTGTCATGGCAAAGCTGAATTTTCAGCAAGTCTTCAGTGCCACATGATCCTTCAGAATTCATTCTAATATACTGATTTGGTGTGCAATAAATATTTCTTGTTATCAGCATTGAAAACACTAGTTCTACTTAATATATTTGTGGAAACCATGCTTCTATCTATCCATCCATCCTTCCATCTATCTATAATTCACATCTTGCTTTTAAATTAAGCAAATAAAATAATTTAAAATATAAATTTAGTCTGAATACAGTGCTGCTTGTGAAAAGTTATTATCAGCTGCGAAATATGTGTTTTGGCACCAGAATGGTGTAGTTACAGCATCTACCAGCAGGGGCTAACTGCCTCAGTCGAACCTGCCAAACCTTGACCTCTTGGTATGTATGTGTGCAGCAGAATGCTGTAAGGCAACAGCCCTTTCTCGCTCCATCCTCTCTCGCTCCATCCTCTCAGGAGTCTTTCTCTTTTAATGAGCCCTCTGCTGTCTTGAATCTACACCAGCAATTAGCCACCACACAGTTTTAGTTGAATGGAACCTAAAGGACAGAAAGTTCTCACATATCTTATTGCATGTTGCTTCTACAGCCTCATGTTAGCTAGTTTGCTTTCATTTATGCAAGCGTGATGAAGTGTTTCTGGGCATGTGTCCTTAAATAATACATAAGTGTGTTTTACCCCATGAAACTGATATTTGTAACAGTTATGTCATCTGGTGTCACCTCTCTGTGCGCTCCTAATAAGAGGACTGGTCCACAGAACAGAGACTTTTCATTTTTTATCCCATTTAATCAGTGTGAGGACTTTCCTGATATATGTAGTTTTTGCTGCAGCTCACACACATCTCATTCCTATTCACCTCATCTCTCCGAACCATTTCCATTGAGAAGATGAACAATTAACAACCTTGAATTACATTGTACCTTCAGAATCCAATAGCACATGCTTGAAGAAGCTCTGCAGGTTTGAAAATTTGAATACTGACAGATAATTTTTACAGGCTTTTTTATTCAAATGGTCTCCCAGAGTCAACGTTCACCTCTCCATCATAGCACAGTGAACACCATCTCATCTTCATCTCACTCACAGTTCTGGAATCATCTGAATATAATCTATTTATGTGAGAGGCATAATCCTAAAGCAGTCAGCACTGATCTGAAGTCCGCTCAGGAGCAACAACGCTAACATGTAGCTAAGTGTCTGACTGAACAGGCTTACAGTATATAATAAATTAAGTACGGTGGATCTAATAACATCTGGACCTTTCACAAGATTTGCATGAGACTTCAGTTTAAAGAATCAATTGGTGCAGCAGAATCAGTCAAAACTAGGAGGATGTGAGACATCTCACACTGGTCATCTGCAACAAAAAGGACCATAATAAAAATACAATTAGAAAAAAAAAATTAGCAGATGAGCATTTCTATCCTCCTCACTCTCTAAACACAAACAAACAATAACATGGCTTGTCTGTTATAATTTTATTACATTTAAATCACATAGAGGATTGTTTCTCAGAATGCAGATCAATGTATTGTCGCCTTTTTTCCTTTAAAAGAACAAAATTAACATGGTTTTCTAAAAAACAAAGAAAGGACAAAAAATAGTCACTTCTTAATGTTAAGTACATAATCCATCAGAAGAGCTGCTGCTGTAATTTTTTGTTCAGGTGCAGAAAGAGAACTAAAATGATGTTTTTACAGTAGGAGGCCAGTGAGCTGAGCTAAAACAGAGGTTACACTGTTTACCAAAGCTGCGGGTTGTGCTCCAACTTGATTCAGGAGATACCGCCAGACATTCATTTTCAGGATAAAGTTGTTTGCCAAAAGAAGCAGAGAGAGCCTCTCCATATTAATGTAGAACATAATGCATTAAGCCTGTGAATAAAAAAATAATCTCAAATAAACATTGAGTCACAAACACTCAGTACTGTAGCACTGTGTACCAGACCACTGGCCAGCGTTTTGACACTTAAACACCCATCATGAAGACACTCCCTAAGGTCACGTCTCAACATAAGGTACACTTAAGCAGATTAGACATTGTGATTGGTGATTTAGTGGTTTGTGGACGAGCTGAAGTCAAAATGTGCTGTAAATTCTGAAATTCAAACGGCATAACAACAGAGCCAGTGGCAGGCTTTGAGGTTAAACGGACAAGCTCTCTGAACACACACACCTCAGAAATGTTTTCTGAGAAAGCAGATAGGAAACGGAGTGCTACATTAGAAATAAAAAGGAAGGATGCAACAGAATTGTTGTCAGGTGCCTGCCTAACTTTCAATAGGCTTTGAAAATCTACAGTAGCTGACAGAACTGGGATAGCATCTCTCTCACATACACACACCTGTCAGACTTCACCGCTTCCCTGCTGAGGCTCTGAGTGTGACGTTTATCACAACGTGTTGAGAAGAACTTTACTGTAAACAGGGAAGGGGAGACCCTTTTTAAGAAGCCATTTTTCTGTTTTTCATTCGGGGGAAAGCATTATACTTGAAGTGTTTCTGTGGTAAAAACAAGTGCAAAGGCGACTGACTTGGCCACACGGAAGACAGTTGATGATGAGGATGCAGACAAACATCACAACTTAAAGGGATAGTTCACACTAAAATAAAAATTCTGTCATCATTTACTGACTCTCATGTCATTACAAACCTGTATGACTTTCTTTCTTCTGCGAAACATTAAAGAAAATATTAGAATTTTGGTAATCAAACATGACCACTTGCACAAAAAAACACTTCTCAGACATTTCTCAGAATTCCTTATTTTGTGTTTCACAGAAGAAAGTCATACAAGTTTGGAACAACATGAGGGTGAGTAAATGATGACAGAAATTTTTTTTTTTTCTCACCCCTTAATGCCACAGAATTAAACTATACAGTACAAAATATAAAACTTGTGTACACCTCTGTCTTCTTTCTTACCTTCTTTCCAAAGGCCTAAAAAAAGGGTGTGGTCTTTTCAACTTCATAAAAACCTGAACTAAAATGCACCAGTCATCATCTAAAACAGCAATGACTCGATAAACTAACCAACAGTAATATAATTAAGTTGTTCAGAATGTGACAAGGTTTTGAATCTTTTTGGACTACTGGCCTGTCCAAGGAAATTTTACCTTTCTGCTCAAAGCAGCAGCTCCCAACTGGAATCCAAAATGTTTTATTTGAAAGAGGATGTAGAGGAACAAAGCGTTTAGTTGAACAAATGTTCCTCAACAGACTAAAGACTGATTGCAAAGCGATGCTCTGTCTCTCTGCTATTCACACTCCTTACTCTGTACGTGTATCTACACTTTGATCATGATGGACAACAGGCAGTCAAAGACCCCCACTGGAAACTTCAGCAAGGCTGATTAACGTACAACATGGAATGGTCTGAATTCATTGCAGAGTTTAAGCTGAGCAGGAAACTACTACTTTTTTGTCCTTTCATTATTCACTAGACCGTGTCAGAGCAGATGTGACATATGAACGCTGATGGCGAGAAGAGAGAGGAACACATGGGTCGAGCGCAAATATTTCCGGAAATTTCTGTTGTGTGGTCTTTTCTCTTCTTGGCTGGTTTCAAATTGTTGGTTTCCTCTCCAAACTCCGCCGCTTTTACCGCCTATATTGGTCTCCGTGATAACTACTATCGCTGTTGCTGTAGTTACTGTTATTCACTGGAGAAAGAGAGGGTGAGGATGAGAGTAAAGACGGAGGGAGGGATGCAAAGTCTTGGAGCTCCTCCCCCTCCAAGACATTGTCTGTTTGCATGGAAGCGGAAGGTCCATTTATGTCTGGAGCAGATGAGAAAACAGGTGAAAACTCCTGTGAAAGGAGGGACGTGTGAAGTCTTTCCTGTTCTACGAGGGGCGTTAGGTCTATGTCTGTAGAGGTGCCCCGAGTGGTGCCGGTATGAAGCCCCAGCGTGCTGGAGAGGACGCGGGAGTACGAACCTGCAGCTCCAGCCAAAGTCTCAGGGGCAGTCGAGGAGGACCCAGGGGTGGGGCTCAAACCAGTATGGCTTTGTGCGCCCGCTCCTGTCTGGGAGCCACGGTGGATTCGGTGGCTGACGACGATGTTGTTGCCAAAGCTGCCCATGGAAGCCATTGTGGTGCTCTGCTCACGCTGGACAACCGCTGTCATCCCTCCCTCAGCCATTAGCCTTCGGATATGAGAAACATACTCAGCCTGACCTAAGAGAGAGAGGGAAAACTTGAGTTCTTCAAGAAATACCAGAGTGCAGGGTAAACAGGGATCAATAAACTTTAGTAGGGAGAAACAAAGTAATAAGGCTGGCTGGCCTTCAGGAGAAAAAGTGAAATTGAGAGCTTACAAAACATGAAGAGTTGCAGCTGATAGTGGAAGATTTATGTCTTGGCAGTGTCAGAGGAGATTTACACGCATCAAATGGCTTTCAAACTGCTGTTACAGTGCAGGTTTACAGCCTGGACACATGTTGTATGGACCTAATTTAACAGGAAGGTGTGGTGCAATTAAAAGCGCCACAATTGACTCTAAATTATTCATCAGCTGTTTCTGCAAACTCAATTATTTGATCCTCATCTAGTGTTTAGGCACTTTGAATCAAGTACAGTTAGTGTGAATATGAGAGTGTGTTTCAGATGTTTGCATCAGCATCAACAACCCTTTCAAGCTTCGCTTTTAATTCACACACTGATAGTTAAAATTCTTCATTCGTTTTCTGAATTGTGAGTGGATGGTGCGCTCCACAATGACTTGTGCTGTGCTATATATAATCTAAAGGGGCTTTCACACTGGACACCTTTGCTGCAGTCTGAATCCGAGTGTGATTGGTCTGGGTTCAGACCACTTGATTCTTTCGAACCCTGATGGATTTGCATACATCTAGCGTCATCACAAACGTGCACAGCACATGACAAAAAGCATGCAAGCAAGATATATGTGTGTGTGTGTATATATATTATTTTATTTAGAGCTATTATGCGCAGCAGAGTGAACAACACTTGTGTCTATGTGTGTCGCATGAAGGTGGCTTTCTGCTGTTTGCAAACGGTCTCTTTTGAGGAGACAGCTGATTGCAAACCATTCAGTTGTCGCTCTGATTGCACTCATGCTGCACAATTACACTGCACACTCACTGTGTAAAGACACTACTTTTCTACTAATAGTAGCCCTAACCCAAAATCTAACCTAACCATAAACCAACCCTACAGTCAGAGGGTAATGATACTGTATGCTGATAAGAGTGTTCCTCAAGTCTATAACTGTGGCCTTAAACCTAATCCTGACTCCTGACTGGTTGACAACCGTTCCATGACCAAAATCAATATCACATAGTTACTTTCTGTTTATCAGTGTGATGTAAGTGTTGGTTACCTGTGCTGTCTGTGCTGGGTTCAGTGAGATCTGACCCTTCGTCTTCCTGAGGTCGACTGTGGGGGGGCGTCTCTGGTACCACCTCAGACCCAGAATCCTCTGGAAGAATCTCTAAATCCAAGGTGTCTGCGGCTGATAAAGAATGATCATTTCAGCATTTTACCATTTGTTTTTAAAGCACCCCAGTTGATTTTCAACATAAGCCATTGGGATGAAGAAAAACAAGCAAAAAGATTATAAAACTAGCACAGGTAAGTGGCAAAAAGATAAAAGTAAAAAGAAACATTGTTTCTAAATAACACTCATAATTTTTGTATTCATATTTTTGTGAAGAATGGCATTATGACTAAACTAATATTGGATCGCTTTCTTCAAACTGAATGCTTGTAAAAGTTGCATTATATTTTTGTTTGTACTGGGTCTTCATTCTCACACTGCCACAAAATGAAGTGCAAGTACAATATTTTACAGTCCTTTTATTATTACTTCTTTCTGTATCACTTGCTTATGTTTTACATTTACATTTTCCCATCTAACTGAAAATCCATAAACAATCCAAATGTAGTTATCGGATGAACAAGTCGAAAAATAGATATTTGACAACTAGAGGCACAGAACAAAACATCATCAGTCATGAATAATGGAGATGAATTATCTTTATCTCAGTATGGGGGTATTTTCCCAGTATTTTCTGATACCTGGAGCAAAAGTTACATCAACTATAGGAAATAAAGGGTTACACTTTACTTGAAGGGGTGTGCATAATACTGACATGACACCTTCATAATCATGACATGACACCTACATAATCATGACATGACACATGTCATGAATATGAAGTTTTTTTATGCATGTTTATGACAACTGTCATTAAGTGTCATTCGCTCAGTTATGTAATGTTTAATGCAAAGATGACATTGTTTGAGATGTCTTTGTTATGGGCTATGGTTAGGGGTAAGGGTAGGGGTAGGGTTAGGTTAGGGTTAGGTCAAATAATGTCATATTTGCATTAAAAATGACATAACTGAGCGAATGACACTTAATGTCAGTTGTCATAAACATGCATAAAACCTCCTTCATATTCATGACATGTGTCATGTCATGATTATGAAGGTGTCATGTCAGTCTTATGCACACCCCTTCAAAGTGTTACCAAATAAAGTAAGTGAAAGAGCAGCCATGCCACATGTGCTTATCTGTAAAACATAGATTCCATGTTAAAAGAACGAAAATCATTTTATAATTCGTAATTCAGTCCATCAAAGCGGTTACACTAATGGACTTGCTGTAACAAATACCTTCTGCTATTTAAGCTCATCTCGGCTGACAGGCTGAACTTCCTGTTTTATTGTGTCTTTAATGTGACTGAATTGCCTCTTTTTTACCAAACTGCACTCATGGTTAAGGTCTCTAATTTCCAATATGAAGGCTCATTGTGCTTCCTGTAAAATGCCTCCAATTGCACACACTATGCTCACGCTGCCTCATGTGAGTTCATCCCTCCCTGGACAACAGCTCTCCAAGATTACAGAACCTGCACATCACCTCTGCCATCTGGACCCAACACAACCCAATTCTCTTGGATCACTAGTGACTAAGGCCAGTGGGAGTTGGTCCTTGTTTGCCATCACCACACGGCTTTAACACATGCTGAGCACAAAATGCAAAACAAAGGAAGACATGACATTTCCTTTATAAAAGTATATTTGATCTGAAACTTGTTTTTTTTGTTGTTGTTGGATTTCTTTTTCTTTTTTCTTTTTAACACATATTACTAATAATTTTATTTCTCACAGGCAGTTTATGGACAGTCGCTTGGGGGAAAAAATCCCAAATATTTCTTTAAAACCAAAGAACAGTGAGATCCGGCCCATTCATTTACACTGATGTCATTCAGCTGAATGCAGCTCTGTGACTGAGCCAATGGCACCCTGTGTACAGCACTATTATCACATCAGCATTTTTGTTCATATACAGCTAATGACCATGCCAATATCAGTCCACGTGTGAGACAATTAAATGTCTCCTTGTGGAGCATCTCCTCATGGGGTTTGTGCTGACTGAACAATGAAAAAGTAATCTCTCTGCAATGACTGCACCCACAGGCTTCTGCAAGGAATACATCTTGCTGTGGAGCGAAGACTGTCTTTGAGCTATATATTAATTATTTATCAAATACCTAACGTCTGTTGTGCCTCTAAAATAGTGAGCGTGCGGGTGTGGGTGTGTGTTGAATGAGTAAGAGGTAGAAAGAAAGAAAGAATCATCTGTGTTCTTTAAGAAGTAATAGGAACATTCTCACATACAGCTTTCCTGTTGACCAGTTTGCAACACGAACACCACTTATACTGCACACTCCTCTCACAAACAAGCTTTCAGTATCAGACAAAAGGCCAATCAATGTCAGAATGGAAATGTGAGGATTTACTCTTCTGAGACCACAGTGCTTCACATGAATGTTTTGACAGACTGTACAGTAAATCCCCTTAAAGGTGCATGAGTCACTGGATATCAGCAACACTAGCTATTCAAACACATGGAAATTGGCTGTTTTCTATAGTAAACACATACATATATAGATATGCATGCATATTAAAAAGGTGACAGGACACTGAAAGAAAAGAGGGAGAAGGAGAGATTATGAAAACTCTCCTGACCTTTGGCTTGTATTCTGCCTATGACAGCTGAAGCTGATTCCTCTATAAAGACGAGTTAAGGTGTCTAAGCATCATGAAGTCAGATAATGAGACTGGCCACCGTCTGTTTGTCTAATCTTTGACCACTGAAGTATGATGAGGCATTTGGTGGTGAGAAAAATTTTAATGCCAAATCCCAACACCCCCAACTGACCCAAAAAATCACAATGACTTCACATAAAAAACTGAACAGTCTTATTCAGTAGGATATTGCTAATGGTGTCCATACACTACACAACGTCATCAGATTACTGTTCTTTTCACACTACACAAATGTCTGTGGTCACCGAAGTCAGTTCCAGTCAAAACACTTTTCACACCTACAGGTGTGTGTGTGTGTGTGTGTGTGTGTGTGTGTGTGTGGTATAAGACTAAACTCTCCCATTATAATGTTCAGAAGGACTTAAACCCAAATAGGCCCCCATACTGCACCAGAAATCTGAAAAAGTTTGCATACTTAAACGCTTTGGTCATTCACATGTTTTGGACAACACAACCCAGCTGACAACACATTTGCTTTAATGCAAAAGACAACAATGATTTGCATTGATAAGTGCACTCAGTACGTGTTTGTTTCACCATTCCTAATACTGTATGTCACAGTGGTCTTGGACTTTATACTTACATCGCTATAAGCATTACTATCGCCATGTTTATTGGAAGTTTGTTAGTCCTCTGTCATTTTTATAAATAGTTTTTTTTTCTGTGTATTATAATATGCACATTAATAAACTGGACCTTGAGGTCCTCTTGTGGCGTGAGAACAACTAATCTCTGCAGTTTGTATCATTGCTCTAGCAGAAACTGCCTGTTTGGACATTTTACTTGTCCACCCCTATTTAGATTGGTTTACCAGTTTTATTCAAAAGAGCTATTCATAGTTTTGTGTAAAATGTTTTATTTAAACTATTTATGAAAAATTAGAATTAGACATTAGAAGGATGAAAGTACAATAGTGTGACGGCCAGATATATTAAACATACCACAACAGTATGATAATAACAGTGGTGGACTTTAAGCACTAATAAAAATGACAGAAAATAAAATTGATTGTAATGAATAAGGCTCTATATAGGTCCATAAGAGATCTATATATACATTACTGTACATTACAGTTTGGGGTCAGTAAGAAATGAGTACATTAATTCAGCAAAGATGCATTAGAAATTGATCAAACGTGACATTTATGATGCTACAACACATTTCAATGTCATTACATTTCTATTTCATTACAAAAATGTCATAAAAATATTAAGTAGCACAACTGCTTCAACATTGATAATAAGAGGAATTTTCTTAGATGTTTCTTTGAGCAAATCAGCGTATTAGAATTATAGGAAGGATCATGGCTACAGAAAATTCAGCTTTGCCAAACACAGGAATAAATTATATTTTTAAATATTTTTTAATTCCAAAATATATTAAAATATCTAAATTATTTTACAATAATATTTCACACTATTACTGTTTGTACTGTATTTTTGACCAAATAAACTCAAATAAATTCAGCCTTGGTGAGCATTGGTCTACTTCCAAAAACATTTAAAAAAAATCTTACTGACCCCAAAACATTTCCATATCATCAGTAATTGCCACCCCATTCACTTATTTTCACACTGCATGCCGCTATGCCTTTTTATGATCCATGTATTTATGACACCAAAGATATCAACAGCTTTAGCCTCTCAGAACAAAAGGACAGGTGCAGAAAACTCAGGTTCAGGTGGAGCATGATCTACCATTAGTCTACTCAAGGAAATGAAGAGAGAGGAGGAGAACTGAGATCACATCACTAGAATGCAAAGAAACATTCCCAGAACATGAACTAAACATCTTTTAATGGACTTCTTGAGGTTGTTCATTCCAAAAAGCATATTTCGTAACAAAGACTTGATAAGATAAACAACCTGAGGATAACATGTAACAATGAATACAGCGCTCACAACAGACAGAGCTAGAAAATAGAGTGGGGGAGGGATTGAGAGAGACAACGTCTGAGCATCTCTTTTGTGTTTCTTAGTATAATTCGAGTAAATATAACATGCGCTTTCCTCATATTCATTACATAAAATGCACAGAGAGGATGCTAATGCTAACCCTAAACTTATTCACTGACAGCCGTTTAAAATGATACTGAACTTAACCCTCGCCCACAGATCTCACTGCAGGGAGTGTGCACTGTTTGTGTGGGAAGATGGCTTTCCTTGAGGTGAGACATTCAGAAGTGAACTTCTCTACCCTAAAACTTTGAGTCATCAAGTTCTTGGCACCTGTAGTACCTCAGAGACATAAACACACAGGTGCTGCAGGCGAAGACGCAGCACATCTGACCTCAATCATACGCCACAAAACAAAACACGCACAGCCATGAAACCTGCTGCTATATGTATAATGGACAGGTTACATGCAAATCAATTTATGTGAAAACATTTTTTT